GTCAAACCGACTCAGGAATTGTGCCCACCTTGCTTGACGACGGCTCAAAACTCGGGAAGTGGCAAAGTACTCGAGATTTTTGTGATCCATCCAGACTGTTGTTTGATGGCTCACCCCCTCCAAGAAACGGCGCCACTCTCCAAAGGAATCCACGATGGCAAAGAGCTCCTTGTCGTGGATTTCGTAATTGATCTCCGCAGGCTGGAATTTCCGAGAATGGAAAGCGACTGGATGAAGTTCGTGATCCGCTCCGAGTTGAGACAGCACAGCACCAATGGCAAAGTCGGAGGCGTTAGCCTCGATGAAGAAAGGTTGTGAGGAATCAGCATGGATCAAAACAGGAGCAGAACTGAAGGCCGCCTTGAGTGTGTCGAAGGCCTACTGGGCAGCAGCAGACCAAGAGAAGGGAACACCCTTGCGAGTGAGATGTGTGAGAGGAAGGACAATGTCAGAGTAGTGATCAATGAATTTGCGGTAGAAGTTGGCGAAGCTAAGGAAAACCTGAACGTCCGACATTGATTGTGGAGGCTCCCATTCGAGAATAGTCTTGACTTTGGCAGGATCCATCGTGATACCCTCAGGAGTGACAATGTACCCAAGGAACTCCACAGACTGCTGATCAAAGGAACATTTCTCAAGCTTCGCGTATAGGCCGTGTTCTCACAGCTTCACTAGCACCTTGCGAACATGTTCGTCATGCTCCTCCTGAGTTTTTGAGTAGATGAGGATGTCATCGAGATAGACAATCACCATCTGATCAAGAAACTCCCAAAAGACGTCGTTCGCCATGTGTTGGAAAACTGCTGGAGCATTTGTCAAGCCAAATGGCATGACAGTGTACTCGAAGTGGCCATAGCGGGTTCGGAACGCAGTCTTCCATTCATCACCAGGCCGGATCCGGATCAGGTTGTATGCTCCACGGAGGTCGATCTTGGTGAAGAAGCGGGCACCGCCGAGGCGTTCCAACAGGTCCGAGATCAGGGGCAGCGGATAAAGGTTCCGAACAGTCACCTTGTTCAAACCTTGGTAGTCGATGACTAGCCGCAAGTTCCCATCCTTCTTCTTGACAAAGAAGACAGGCGCTCCAGCCGGGGACTGCGAATGCTGAATGTAGCCCGAGGCAAGGTTCTCATCCACATACTCTTTGAGGGCCTTAAGCTCGGACGGGGATAACCCATAGATAGGCCCCACGGAGGTGACGCTCCTTCCTGTAAATCAATGGGACAATCATAAGGCCGATGAACAGGCAGTACACTAGCTTTTTTCTTGTCAAACACATCCCCAAAATCATGATACTTCTCAGGAAGACTGACAAGAGAAACATGCAAAGCAAAAAGAAAAAGAGGTTCTTCATGAAAGAGTTCTTTCATAGTGATTGTGGAGATAGGAGGAGGCATACGACTAAATGGAATGAGACGAGGATACGGTCCAGTGTAAGATGGAAGAGAGGAAAAAGAAGAGGGTGAAAACTTTATAGAGTCAGGAACAGAACCCCAATTTGAGTTTAGGGAACTTTTCCTGATTCGGACTCGATGAACAGCAGGGGAAGCCGTGGGAGAGATGAGCTGTAATTCCTTCCAACAGATCTGAGGCTGATGTAGTTGGAACCAAGGAAGACCGAGCATCACAGAGGAGGACTTGCTGTTGATGATGTTGAAGGCAATATCGGTGACGGTGGACCCAATGTGTACTCGAACGGGCAACGTTTCCCTAAGTCCAGAAGATGGAGACACAAAATGCCCGCCGATGCCTTCAACCCTCAAATCCCGTATGGTAGGAGAAAGAGGAACGTGATGTCGGGCAGCAAAGTCCGTGTCCATGAAGCAGGAAGTTGCACCTGAGTCCAGTAATGCCAGAGCCTTGAGTCCTGATTGTCCGGTGAAAGAAAGGAGACATGGGACGCGGAAGTTGTGGGAATTGGTGGTGGCTTTGATGAAAGGTGGTGAGGAGCTTGATAAAGAAGAAAAGTGATTTTTAGTCGGGGAGTCCAAACAGACAGCTCCTACTCTGTTTGGACTGGGTCGTTTCCCGACTGCAATAGAGGTGGACTTTGAGGCAGAGTGAACTCGAGCAGTCGAGGAGGCTTCTTAGGACATACAGCTGCTTTGTGATTAGGATCAGCACAATAGAGGCAAAGATTATGAGATATTCGACGTTGCTTCTCAGCAGGACTCAACTTCCCTCTAATGAGTCGGGGAGTACCAGAAATATCCATTGGAACCGGAGCAGTAGGTTCAGGAGTATGCCCCGAAGACTCAAGCTGGGATTCCTGAGTCTGGGACGGAAAAACAGCGGCGCGGCGACTTTCCTGACGACGTTCAAAGAGACGATTGTCACATCAAACAGCTTTGTTGATGGCATTCGACAGGTCCTTGGGATCCTCCATGGTGAGCAACAAATCCTTGACACCGTTGTTGAGGCCGAAACGAAATTGGTCAATCAGGGCCCGCTCATCCCACTAAGTGTCCAAAGCAAGGAGTTGGAACTCTACAGTGTAGATCGAGGCAGGACGAGACCCCTGAGAGAGACGTCTCATCTTTGTGCTAGCAGCCCGAACCTGATCTGTCTCGCCAAAACATGCTTCGAGCTTCTCTTTGAACAATTGAAGATCCATCAGCTCTGGAACCACGACCCCTTTCATGCTCTTCTCCAGAAGAGGAGAAAACCATGACAAAGCTGCACCTTCGAGCAACGTCCCAATCGCGCCGATTTGAGACTCGGGAGTAGGGTACCGCCGATGTTGAAGTGCGAAGATCAACTCCATCTGGTTCAGGAATCCGCGAAGCTTCGAACGCTTGCCTGAAAATTTCACCGGGAAGCTCACCTTCGGTTCAGGAACTTTGCTGGATCCTTGAGCCGAAAGTGAAGCAAGCTCCTGCTGCATGCGAAGAAGGGTCGCCTTCAGCTCGGTATTCTCAGACTAGATTTTTGCAAGGACTTCAGCAAAGAAATCAGGATGGCTTGGAGACTCCATTGGCAAGAAGAAAGGAAAAAGGGGGAAAAAAAGGCAAAGGTAATCAAACAATCAAAACAAACTAAATCTCTTTTCTCTTTGTCTTTTTGCATTTTCCAATCTTGATTTTGTCAAGGGTCTTGACAGTTTGATTCAGATTGTGGAGAAATGGAACAAGGCTAACCTATATATACTATAGGTTGATGAAGCTCCACCACTCTTGGATCAAGGACGGCCTAAATATAGCTGAGGTCGAGGAGGCGCCACATCATCATCAGGAATGTGGCTCGAGACTTAGGAATCGGGAAGTGTCTCGAGAGTCAGGAATGTGGTCTGCAGGTCAGGAATCCGGCAAGAGTCAGGAATGTGGCAAGAATTGGGGGATTCCTGACATATATGTCACAAGGGTGTAGAGATTTATTGATGCTTCACCATAAAAACTCTTATATGGTCATGATCCAATATTACCAATGGAGTTAGGTTTGCTTTCGTGATTACTATGAACTGCTGATGCTAGGTCGTGGGATCAATATTTGACAAGCATTCTTCCACTTGTCCGAGCAAAGTCTGCTAAACACCTGGGCTATGTACAGATGGGACAACAACGACGTTACAACTCTCATCATTATCCACCTATGGAGTACAAAATGGATAATTTAATGTTAGTTCGTCTTCCCCATTTTACGATATATGGTTTATTTAAGAGGCTCCTTGCTCAGTGGAAAGGATTATATCAGATGTTGCAGCAAGTTGGACTACAAGTTTATGAGGTTTGGCATGATGTACAGCAGGCCAATCCTCCAGAATTATGTATATATAACAATTGAAACACTTCGTATAAAGGGATAAAAAAGGACTAATACCACTTACAGATCCATCAATGCTTCTTTTTTATGTTCCTTTAGATCCTAGCTCATCTACAAAAGAACTCTGATGGTTTTTCATTATTCTAAGAGGAAGAGATGATATAAGGTCCAAATGTACAATTACAATGCCATATACTAATGTTAGTGTAATGGGGTTTTGGTAGTTGTCGAATTGGTTTCAATACAAACCATTTGTATATAAACTAGGGTTTTTGGGCTAATTAATATGCATATTTTTTGTATTTCCTTTCTATATTTCATGCACTCACATAGCAAAGATCATCTCACATATAAGTCTTGTTAAAACTTTAAATTATTATTAAAACATACATTACTGTAAATTAGATATAAAATTTTAAAAAAAATCTTCAACCACGAATTATATCCAAAATAAAATTTAAAAAACTAGAATATATATATATATATAAGAATTATATATGTTATTTTATTTTATTTTCTGAAATTAAATTTGTAGGCATTATTAAACTTCTAATATACATAAAACTTTATTTTAGGAGTACTTAATATGCTTATTTTATGTATGTTTTAGATATAATGATATTATCTCATCATTTTGATATCTATTAATATTTACCCAAAATTAAAATATTTTAAAATGTTAGGTTATTTTAAAATTTATAGTTCTTCCACTTTGTAATTCAGTTAATAAGTTAAATTTTACTTTAAGTAAAGTTTAAAATTTTAATATTTAAGTAAATTGCAAATTGCTTAAATAAGCTAAATTAAGTTTGATAAAAATCTTAAAATTTAATGTTTTCAAAAAGTAGTATTTATAAATACATTACTAAATTAAAATTTAAAAATTATAAAATATAACTATGGACACTTAATTATTTAACTTAATAATTCATGTGATCATGCATTCTAAATAAACAATAATTAATGGAATGTATTATATCACTCTAAATGAATTGAAAATTTATTTCAAGCCTGGAATTAAAATATTTTAAAAATTCTATAATATTTCTTAAGTAATTAAAAAAGAAAATGATTGATGAACAAATTCACAATATAAATACTTGTTGTTAATAAAACAACTATATTAAAAGATATGGAAGTCCACTAAGAAGTTTTAATTTATTAATTAATTCCCATTTATTTAAATTCAGAAGAAAACTTCTAAATAATAAATATTTAAAACTTATTAACATTTTCATAAGTTTAAATTTTAAATCTGGATTTTATACTTTGAACATTGCCTACATTAAAATGAAACCATTGCTGAAAATGTAAGTAATTTAGTGTCGCTTCCTACAGACACACAAGTATCTATAGGCACTCTCCTTGGGATTGCGGCCATTGAGTGGGACTTGCTCGGCTCGGCACTCCGTTTTGCAATCCCGGCACTCGTTGTAAGTGCAGCTGGGCGCCGTCGACCCGACCATCGCTCTTCGATCACTGGGATACTGCCATTCATTTATCATCTCCGGGCCGCAAGAGAAAAAGCAAGAAATATCGATTTCTCACCTTGGGCGTTAGCGTTTGTTGCAGCAGCTTTCGAGAGACACCTATTGCAAAACAACAAAAGCGATACGCGAGATTTTTTTCCCGTGCAAAAGCTGGACTCGCTATACCTTGGATTTGTCTCGACCCATGCTCTTCCGGACAAGACGATGAGCACGAAGAGACGAGCAGCAGCAAGAGGAGTAAGGCCACCGGCATTGTCCGATCGATCGATCCTCCCCGCCGCGTGAATGTCCGTTTGTCTTTGTTCTCTCGTCGTCTCGACTGCGATTGATTGATGGAGCGATTGAGCAGTGGCCCAACGAGAAGAACAGGCGAGAATCAATCCATTGGACCCAGCAGTGGATTCACGAGATATTTTGGCGAGAAAAGGGGGCTTTTTCTCGAGAGAGAGCTCCCTCCATTGTGGTTCATACATTTTTGTTCTATCCCTCTCCAGGGGGATTTTGACATTCCAGAAACTTCCTACACCACATACAAACAAATCCAGGAGGCATAGGGCTTATGGGCAAATTAGGGCTTACGGGCAAATTAGGGCTTGTGCTTGCGCCACGATGGGGACAGAGGGTGCCCATGCCATCCAACCACAGCGCAGTGGTCCAAAGATTCCATCGCTTATCCCGATCCAGGACCACGGAAATGAATTCTCTTTAGAATCGGGTGTGTGCTTCGCGCGGAAAATGGAAGAATGAGTCGATCTCTTCGCGCCCAATTGCGAGAAAGCCCACAGTGGGTGCTCCATCGCGCGCTGAGCCGCGATTGATTGATCGGCCACGTGATACTGATCGATCGATCTCTTTCAAGCAATGTTTGCTACAATCGACGGGTTGATCGATTGAATCCACGGGTAGATCGATCGATCTCTTTCAAGCAATGTTTTCTAAAATAGACGTGTTGATCGATTGAATCCACGGGTAGATCGATCGAATCGACGGGTTGATCGATCGATTCATGCTGCCCATCAAGTGATCTGCCCCAAATTGCCACTCGCGCGCCAAAATATGAATTTAAAAAAGGTGTATATTTTTCCTTCCAAAGTTTATATAGATAAAAACACAAGAGGAGCAATCCAGATCCACACTGATCGATCCAGAGTGGAGTGAGAGATTTCTATCTTGCGTAGAAGCTCTCATTCTCCACCGATGAGATCCCATGAAACCCACTGCCGCTCTTCCTCCTCCCCTTGACACTCTTCCTTGGCGGCTGGAAGTTTAGATCGCTGCCGCTTGACGACCTCGGCTTGGAATGCGAAGAAACCAAAACATTTGCGCGCTGCGTCGGCCCCAGGATCGATGATCCACTGCTATGGCCGACGATCCTCGGCTGGAATTGGTGCTGAGGATTGGAGCCCTTGGTGGAGATCGTCGATTTGTTCGCAGCGGACGCGTAGGAGATGTCTGGATCCTGGAGAAACGCGCTGTTCATGGGATAGAGCAAGAAGTCCTTGCCCAAGTTGTCGATCTCGAAAAGATCGTTGCTGCTATCGCTGTCGTCGCCATCGAGATCACAACGATCATACGGCAATCTCTGGAAATTGCTGGAGTCACCCTCTTCGGATGAAGACAGGGAGGAGTCCCTCACGAGTTTCTTCGCGGCCGCGCGAGGGGGAGGAAATCCATACGAGTTGAGGTTGGAGCTCAGATCACGCGAGGAAGAGGAGTAATCGTGGCTGCTGCTCGTGGTGCTAGATCTAGAGGTCATGGAATCCTCGTATCTTTGATCTTTGGCCAAGGGAGGAGGAGGATTCACCGCGGCCGAGGATGGATTCATGTGTGAGAAGGAGAAATTCGCGTGCCACGACTCCGATCGGGGAGGAACAGCCATGAACACGGCAGCATTGGAGGAGTTAGTGAACGAGGGCTTGGAGATTGGCTCGACCAAGACGCTGCTAGTGCTCAATCGCGAGAGCTCCTCGTCGCCCTCCATCTCGTCGGATCCACCGGAATCGAGGACGAATCCCCAGCGCGCGCTGCGAACATGGACGTTGTGCTGCGGCTGCTCGCCCGATCCAGCTATCTCGGGGCCGAAATCCACCGACGATCGTGCGGCGTGCTGCTGGGATGGGTGGAGATTGCGAGCGTGGAAGTAGTGATCAGCCCCAAACACCGAGACATCGCATTTCTTGGAGAAGGAATCCCTCTCGCCCGCGATGATTCGAATGGTGGGCATGGCTGGAGCCGCCATCCTGTTGATCCGCGGCGTGGGCTCCCCAAAGACCTCGCCAAAGACGTGCAAGCTCCTCGCCTGGCTCTTCTTCTTGATCCCCAGCGACGAGCACGTCGACGAATATTCGCTCATACCATCGTCGTCTTCTTCTTGCTCTTGGTGGCGTTCTTCTTCTTCGTGTTCTTCCTCGTCCTCGTCGATCTCCAGGAGCCTGGGATTCAACCCAGCGCCACCGCCGTCGAGCTCGAATCTCTCCCTGGCCTTCGCGTAGCTCCTGGCGATGCTGTCCAGGCCAAAGGCGGCGTCCATGGCCTCGACCATGGGGCTGGAGAGGTACGAAAACCCCGACGATCGAGCGGCGGCGCTGTAGGAAGCGCCGCTGGCCAGATCGTCGGCGTCGGCGTCGCTGCTGCTGCTGAGGAGATTCCTGACGCTGCCGCTACCGGCGCTGCTGTTGCGGTGGAATCGCCACTCGCGGACGCTCCCACACTCGGCCATGTTGGAGGCGCTGCTGGATCGCATCGCGCCGCCGCTGCTGCTGCGGTTCTTGAGGAGGTGGCGCTCGGCCGCGGCGAGGCTGGAGAGCTCAGTGGAGACGACCGAGATGGAGGGGCTGTCGGGGACGAGAATCGCGGCGTTGTGGATGCCGCTCAGGCTCAGCAGATGATCGCGCTGGGGTTTCTGGATCAAAACATCCTTCTTGGACAAGCACAAGCCCATTTTCTTCTTCTTTCGCGATAAAGATTGGTGCTTGCAAGGGGGTTGGGAGGAATTCTATCGATCAAAAGCCCCCAAAGCTCTTCTCTTTCATTTTCTCTTTTCTTTTCTCCTTGGGAGTGAGAACTAGGGCTAGAGAGTTTCCTCCTTTTCTTGCTCTAGAGGGATGGGATGGACTACCTTTCACATAATATCTCAATGCCCACACTGGGCATTTTTGGTTGCCACCCAAATTCCAGTGAGCTACACACAAAACACTAGTTTTGCCCTCCACAAGAAAACAAAACCATCAATTCCTATGGAAAAAGCTAGAATTTATTTTAGTGGTTCCATTGATCTTGAATCTCATCAACGATACAGCTTCCAAAAGCAAATGATCATGATCCAATCAAACCCAAAGTCAAGCTTGCCATTTCTTTTATCCAAAGGACCACCAATCTGCTCAAATTGCTAGAGAGTTTCTTACAACACCCTGCTTGTTTCCATTGAGATTTTTTGGAAATCCAAAAAATTTTTGGAGAATCACCAACAAAGCTGCAGACTGCCTATGGCTAGCTGCCACCAAAAAGAAAACACACAGATATGTATGTTTAGCTCTGTGTGTTCCTGGGCTGCTCCAGTAAACAAACATTGCTCATATTTGTCCTTGCTTGGCTGGTGCTGCAGCTACATCCAAGTGAACTTTCTCTGGTGCCAATAAAAACACAACAAAGAAACGTTTAGTTACAGAATTTATTAATCAAATTTGTCTCCCACCTCCTCTTTTTCTGTGGAATGGAAATTGAAATCTTTACCCCCATTGCATGTTCTTCTGGCTGGCCAGATCTTTTCCGATCCCAATCCAGGCCCTGCTCAACTTGCTTGTTCCTTTCAAACCTCCAACTCACAACTCACCAAACTTGAATGAATTGAAAGCGAGGATCGAGGCAACCTTCTTCAGTCGTTTCCATTGCTCTCGTGCCGACTGTGGGACGGACGGATTTTCTCTAGCGCGACAAAGTTTGCTACCGGAGCTACAAACAAAACGCAAAAGAAAAGGTAAAATTCCCTTGTCAGGCAGAAAAAGAAGAACACAGCACCTTGCTTGCGTGGTTGTTGTGGTTGCGAGCGTTTCCACTGGGAACCTGATGGAGACAGAGAAAACAAAGAACAAGTCAGCAACCAACGAGCAAGAACAGATAAAAAGAAACACTTACTCGTGGGCGATGATTTTTCGCCCGGCTTTCACCCAAAAATATAATATGTTGGCCCTGGCGACTGTTTGGTTGGATGGACGGATTAGTCAAATGCAGCGAGGACGTTGCCGAATCTTTGAGCATCGTTGCACTTTGTCTCCATGTTCTCGTGACAATCCCAATTATTGGCACTGCTGGCTAGCAACGGTTTATCAAGTAGCGTAGACCACCTACGAGCAGAAACAAGTGCAAAAGAAAATGAGTGGCGATGAAAAAATGATTGAATCTATGGTGTTCAGGCCTCGATTGAGTGAGTGACGATCGACGCACGTCCGAATCAGACATGAGTAATAAGTGACCCACAGACTATTCACCGGGAGATCGGTCCAACAAACTTTGCCTGTAAAGTATTCCAATCGAACTACGTGGTGTACAGACTTCCACTTGTTACAAAAGTATTTGCGCAGTGGAAGTGCTACAAAAAAACGAATGAATTCTCAAAATCTACCTGACTTGCCGCTTTCACTTCTCGAATTGCATCTTTTCGGCTTCATCCTTCAAAGACTGGAAGAGAACGGTAGAAAGATAGCGCTCGCCAAAGCTAGGAATCACTACCTGTAAGAGATTACATTTGTGAGAAGTTTACACATTGTTAAGCTCGCCAAAATGCTAGAACTCACGCAGACGAGCTTGTTTGCATTCTCAGGCCGTCTTGCGACCCTGAGCGCAGCTACAGTTGCCGCTCCCGAAGAGATTCCAACCTGAGTAATCAAATAACATTAGCATTTAAAAGCGATCAAGTTTATATACCAATAGTCCCTCTTCTACGGCAAGTTGTCTAGACATGCGAGTAGCTTCTTCTGTTGTCACCTGAATAGAAAGTGTTTTTCAAACATTTCGTGATGCTTATATAATGTAAGCTCACTTCAAGCACTTCATCCAGGAGATTAACTTCCAAGAGTCCAGGCGCGTAAATGCCTGCACCAAGGACTCACGAGTTTAGTGCCTGCCATGAGAACGGCAAGTCATCACTGGAAGGAATCCTTCTAAAGTTTATACGCACCTGATTTGTCGGATAAAACTGCGCTCTCGGCTGGCTCGACACCACATATCTGGAATCGCAACACTCGCTTTAGTATACACATCAAACCAAAGGACCACCTTTATATTGGAATTTTGGCTTTTTAAGAACTTTCCGATGCCAGTGATCGTGCCACCGGTTCCGATAGACGCTACAAGAACATCAACTTTCCCACACGTGTCCTCCCAAATCTCGGGTCCAGTGGTTTCAAAGTGAACCTACAAGTAAAAATAAAAAGTAGAAGAGCGACTAGAGGGTATCTTCTCGTACCTTTGTGTTCGCAGGATTCTCAAACTGCTTTAGCATGTATGCATTTGGAGTCTTGCTTGCAATCTCTTGCGCCTTTTGAACGGCTCCTCTCATTCCCTTCCCCGAATCAGTGAGAGTTACCTCCGCTCCAAAAGCACGCAGCAGAATGCTACGCTCAGTGTTACTCAAAGACGCTGGCATCGTGAGCTTTAGCTTGTAGCCTTTACTGGCACTGATAAAAGCGAGTCCGATACCCGTGTTACCACTTGTGGCCTCTACGAGGACAGTCTGCGAAGAACATTACGTGAGCAAGCGTAAAATTTCACGGTCCTTAAACTACCTTTCCTGGAGCTATATCCTGCTTTGCTTCGGCATCCGCTATCATACTATAGGCTATCCTATAAAACCACAAACAGAAGCAAAATGTAAGCATGACTGACAAATTCTACGCTACTCACCTATCTTTGATGCTGCAGCAAGGCTCCATCATTTCAAGCTTGGCAGCAACGTTTGCAACACAGCCTTTCACAACCTTGTTTAGATAAACCATAGGAGTCTTCCCAACAAGCTGGAAAAATTATAGAAAAGACTAAGACACATTTTCGAAAAATTGATACATACCTGAGTGACATTGTCCGCAATATTCAAGTAGTCTTCTATCTTCACTTCCAATCCCTTCTTACCGGCATCCTTGAGCGGCGCCGTGGCGGTGTGGCCACATTTAACAGGAAATCTGCTGCTTCGGAGCCGCAATGAGGTGGATGGAGCTCCAATCGCGTCGAATCCGGCGCTGGAAATGCCGATTCCCGGCTTCTCCAGGCAAGATGGATGAGAAGAAACCGCCAGCTGCAACGCGCGGCTGCCTCCCAACATCCCCGGCACGCTCTGCTAAAGCCCTAAGCCCAGGAAAGCAAAGAACCCTAATGACTGAGCGGGAAATTCCTATTTAGGGTTCTTGAAATCTGATTGCTGGCAGTAAATATGTCAACATAATTCTTGTTACCTACAAATTCACAAGCATATCACCAGTTGAATTCATGTTTGAATCTATTGCAAGTTAAGTACAGTGTTAAGTTGGTAACCTTGGCATTTGGAAAGGAAGTGGGTTCTCAAGACTGAAGACTAGAGGGACCAAGAGTTTTCTATTGGGCCTTCATATTATTGCAGAATTTGCTTATTTGTAAGAGATAACTCGAAGCTACGGTTTGATTTAGATTTTCTGAATGTTACTAAGTGCAGCTGCCGAGAAACTTGAGAAATCACATGAAGTCAAGACATCATGTTCTGACTGAATGACTTTTATGCAGATCGTTTCACTGAGCTGAATTTTCTGCAGCTTGTGTGTCACAAATCATGAGCCAAGTCCCATTTGGCTGCTGAATCTGAATGGGGTGCCGTACGGTTAACAGATTAAGGATAGTACGTGTCGTTCGCTCCAGACACGTACACACATAAGTGCCGTTTACGTCTGGAGCAAACGACTTTTGTGCAGCACGTTGTGGTTATCTCAATATATAAGGTATGTGAGCTCGTCTATGTTAATTCTCATTCTGTAGTTTGGATAGCGAGTTCCGAGTGGATCTAGATCATATGGCATCGAAAGCAGTTGTTTGTGTGGCTTTGTTCATTTGTATGCTGCTTGTTACAAGCAGCACTGCTGGTGAGTTTTTACGTTGTTAGTCCTGCTTGGACGCTCATATTTTGATACTGTTATGATGCAGCAAAGACAGCATGGCCTGAACTTGTTGGTAAGGATGCAATCTACGCAAGGGAGCAGATTCTGGCTGACAATCCCAAGTTGGAGATTCATATTGTGTTTTATGAGGCGTGTTTAGTTACTGCAGACTTTGATAAAAACCGTGTTCGAATCTACACCGACTGCAGCAACAGGGTAGTCAGAACACCAAGCATTGGCTGAAAATAACCAAGCACTTCTGCCACTGTTGAAATGAATTTATAAGTAAATAAATGTTTTGTTGAATCAGGAGGATGCAACCACAATATGTTAGAGACAAAAGGCCATGGCAATTCTCTAGGAATTTGCAGTGTAATAGAGCCTCGTTAGGTCAGAGCTCTGATGTCATCATAGCGGAGGAAGAAAAAAGCGGAGAGAGCCGCCCACTCGCGGGCCAGAGAGGAACACCGGCGGCGTGACCGATGATGTTCGTGGCACGGAGCCGGGGCATTCGGCGGGCGGCGGCACAGCCGCTATTACCCGAGCCTGTGCCCGTGGTGGTGGTTTGGTCGGGGGGAGATTGAACACAAAGTTTTTTTTTTTTTGTTTCAATTTATCTATATCAATTTTTACTGGGTCGTCATCAACTTGAAGATTTGTTGTTTACACGCTCCAACTTTGACAGCACATTTAATTTAATTGCCCTTTTTTTTAATCAATGCTGAGAAATAGCAGCTATCAAAAAGACATTGCTAATCAAATGATAAGCAAAGTCCAGCATGACAATGATGCAGGAGCATCACCAAGCTCCAGGCGGCTCTTCTGAATTAAAGATCTGAAAACAAGTTTTTCCAATTTTGATCAGCAAAAGTTCGTCTAGTAGTAATTTAAGAGCTCTTGATAAGCTCTACTCCTTCACATTAGAACCTCGTCCATTTTGTCTAAATTCTAGAAACTTACATAGACCAGGCTGTCTTGTGACCCTCAGCACAGCCAGAAGAGATTTCCAGAAGAGATTCCCACCTGAATAATGAATATATTGTCACTAGCATTGTTTACATACCAACAATCCTTCTACAGCACATTGTCTAGACATGCAAGTAGCTTCTTCTGATTTCACCTGCGTTTCAAACATTTCATGATGCATACATACAATAAGCATTTCATCCAGAAGATTAACTTCCAAAGGTCTAGGCGTGTGAATGTGCACAAAGGACTCATGAGTTTATTAAGTCATCACTAAAAGGAATCCTTTTAAAACCTGATCTGTTGGAAAAAAAAAAAAGCTTGCTAAAGAATATTTTATTAGAATAATTATTGATTTTTAAATAAATTGTTAGCAATGCTTTATTCTTATTTATTAATCCAATTGAATAAATAAAGTTTATAATTATAAGCATGTTTATAATTTATAAACACAAGATTAATCTAATTGCATATTAACCATCTAGAATAAAAAATAATATACTAGAAAGGGTTTAAGAACGTTATAAATTATAAACATGTTTATAAATTATAAATACAAAATTAATCTAAATGAATAACAATAGTTAGATGATAGAATATCCTAGAATATCCAAGCATATTCTAAATATATCCACTACCATCCCAATCCCTCTACAGGTTTGCTTAAGCAAACAAAAAAATTGAATTTTTATTGTTATAAATTATAGTAGTTTTATCATATAATAACTAGTAGAGAAACCAGAAAATTTAAAAGAAAACACAGGTAAATTGAAATATAATTAAATACTTTGGGAATGAAATGTGCATGCAATAAATTGTTTGATATCTCAATAGAACATAAGATCCATTTTTTATAGAGCATGGATTAAAAATATGTATTTTTCTTTAGGCATGTTTTCTTCATTGTACTCTACTATAGTTGTTTTATTTTCACTTAAAAACCATCTTTAAACAACTTTGTAAATTTGTGAACTCAAAATAATCACAAATACTCTAAAAGTCTAATGATTGAATTTTTTAAATCTCTACAGTGCAATTTGGATTAAATGAATTACATAATATAATGGTCAAATTAAGTCATCACCCATAAATATATATTATATTTTTTATAATGTATTTTAGTGAGGTCTTTAATTTTTTAAAGTCATCCTACCTTTGATTCTACAATCACCTTTCTCCAACTTTTTGTAAAATATATCACTTAAAGTTTATGCAATTGTTGGAAAAGTTTAAGATGCAAGAGTTATTCTATGCTAGAGTATATAATCTCTTGGAACATTATTTTATTGGTTTTGAAAGTTTTGATGATGTAGAATTTACTTTGAGACAATACCTAAAAAAGATATTGTTTCTTAGAATGCATTACTCTTAGTTTACAATGGCTTTTTTTAACATTCAATGAGATTTTAAATATAATTTTTTCTTTCCTTTTGAGACAAATTATAACTGTTATGAGTTGTGTTTCTTTCTTTAAGTACCACTACTATCTTTAAGCCCGTTATCCTAAAAGCTTTCTTTCTATTAATTATTCTAATTTTGGATCTTTCTATTAAAGAATTTCTAAGGGTCATAGTGATCAAAGGCTTCTAAAATGCTCTTATAAAGCTGATTGAATTTTACAATTTACTTTGATACTTTCCTAGAGCTGATTGAATTTTGTAATTTCCTTTGATGCTTTCCTAGAGCTAATTGAATTTTATAATTTACTTTATTTCCACGCTAACTTTGCCAATCCTTTCATTGTACCTTGCTTAAGGGTATATTATATTTTTTAAGTAGTCACTAATTAATGTGAATTGAACCTGTACCAATCCTTCCATTTTACCTTGGTCAAAGGTATATTATACTTTTTAAGTAGCCACTAATCAATAGAAATTAAACCCGTACCATTTGCTCTAATATCACATATAACACACTTTATCTCTCTTCTATTAAGCCATTGAAAAAAGAGCAATTACTTAATAAAAGAACCTTAGTAACTATTTTAATCTTATTTATCTTCTAAAGTTTCAAGAATTTATGGTGACAATATATTCATTCCATAATCACATGCGCTACAATCCCTTAGCCATATTTTTTCCCTCTTACCCAACTAAAATAGAATATAGTGAGAAATATCGCAAAAGAAATACTATACAATATGAGAAGGCATTAATTTCTTTTCAAACTATGTGTAATTTTTTTCTAAGTGTTAGCATAGTTGGATGATGTAACAATAAAATGAATTGATTTAATTAATCACTGGCTTATGGTGCCTGCAAAATGTCCACTAAATGAATTAGATTTCCACATTTAGTAAAGACATCTTCAATATTAGTTTGTACAACCACAGCTTTCAATCCTAATCCTTGACTTAGTACAATCTTTAACCACATAACAAAAAACTAAAAAAGAAAATTAACACAAAATTTAAAAGATTTACTTTGAAATCCTTCCTATTAAAGGAGTTTAATTCCAAAAATCAAGGAATGAATATTAATTTTTCTATCTAGTCAATTAAAATGTTTGAGAGAAGAAATAATTTATACCTTTACTCGGAGGTCAAACATAAATATGGAGTCATGAAATTTCAAACTTTTTATAAAGTTTGCTCACTCCTAATAGTAACTAACTTTCTCAACCAAATGTGACTGCATAACATAAGGCATTAGAGCATTAAGTATTAGTGATTTTAATTTAAGTTTTCTTTATAGCTTTATAATTTGTTTTTGTTTTTACTTCCTTAAAAAATAAAAAAATAAAGAGTTAGTGGAAAACCTTCTTTTGTATTTTTCTCTCAAGATATATAAAAATGGTTTACAATTAGCAACTAGTTTTAAATACTAATAACCTTATCATAGCATGGAAAGAGGCTGAAGAATTAATGGAACTCTTATTAACTCATTCATCAAAATATTTTCTCTTGATTTATGTCATAGCTCCATAAAATCCCTTCAAAAAACACATGGTATAAATTTCTATACGTGGAAGATGCCCAAATGTAGTAAACACCATTAAATCTTAAAGAACACTCAATGAATTATAAAGTGTGAAAGAGATCATTTAAAATCATCCATTAGAAATATAAATTCTAAAATTTTATTTCCATCATTGTAATATTTGGTGTAGTGAGTAATTTTAAACTTTTTTAGTTCTCTCCTTTATTTTCCTCTTCTATGTTTGTAAAATTTATGAAAATTTTAATAAATGTTGATCAAGGTATTATTTTAATTCATCATCCCTCATTAGATTATAATTTATAGTTAACTTTCTTTTCTCTTCTTGAGGATAAAGTTTTTTACTCAATTTTCAAAAATTCTAACTTCTTTGTTGAGAGCAAAAAATTCCTTTCTTAAAGGTATTCTAATTCCATATTTATTAAATATTATAAAATAAACCTTACTCTTTCAAGAGTCTTAATAAAGAATAAAAGTTAGCTTTTAGATATTTATGGGGTGATAAAATTTGACTTTTGGGCTTGGTATATGAATGGATATCATATAGGGATTAGAGTTTTATGTTTATAAAGAAGATACTAAAAACAATGATAGGTTGAGAGATATCTTCATAAAAAATGTAGATTAAAAATATAAGTAATAACAATTAGTGATTTTGGAATAAGCTTTTTTTATTACTGCGGCCTATTCAAAATCATATATTGATGTTTTGTTTCTAAGATCCTCACCACCTTGCACTTATTGTCATTCAAGCTTAGGGATATACAGAATTTGACTTTAAAATTCTTTTAACTATTGTTAATATTTTTAAAAGGTATTGTGAAGTTGTAAGATACAAATTCCTAAACCCCAAAGTGGAGCCAAAAATAAGCCATATAATAATGGTCAAAGTAGAAGTTTAACAAATGTAACATATTTGGACCAAAAGTTTCAACTCGGAAAATTAATAAGAAGAGTGGAACTCTTAAAGAAGTGCTCAAGGAATAAGTATAAAGAATTGATAAATGAGTATTTAGAAAAGGGATATAAAAAGGACCAACATTTGGTAAGTGTTATGATATATGGAAGTGTCAAGACTGAGTCTAAGTTCAAAATCGAGTCCAAGATGGAGCTTGAGGCCGAGTTTGAGATGGAGCCCAAAGCAAAGTTCAAGATGGAGGCCGAGACATCTAAGATGGAGCCCAAGGTCAAGTTTGAAATGGAGCCCAAGGCTGAGTTTGAGATGGAGGCCAAGATTAGGTCCAAAATCGAGTCTAAAAATGAGACTGAGACTAAGAGTCCATAATAATATAATCATTGAGGAGTCCAAGATTAGAGTGAACATAAATAGACAAATGGGGTAACAATATTCAAGAGCCAACTCTAGCTCCCTTGAGAGATCAAATGGTTAATACTCCCAATCCAAAT